GGATGAAGGTGACTAAAGTACGTAGCCTCAAGGCGAGGTTTGATCAGCACACACTAAACGCGTACTTGGGGTTTGAGGACTTAGAGCCGAAGAAGTATCTGGAGACATGTGCAATGAAAGAAGAAGTTCACCTTGGCTAGCTGAGATCTTAGCACCACCATGGATCATTATTGGGGTTCCCATCCACCGGAGCACATTGAGTTTTGAGGCAAAGGGATGGCAGACATATTTTATGCAGCAGACTTGAACTGTGCCAGAACAAGACTCATTTGCCTCTTCCACGTGTTATTCTTGTGGCTTCTATCATGGTCGGGTACCCAATTAATATGGGTTCCGGGATGTTGGCCAATATTTTGTTGGTAGCACTGCTGTCTAGCTCGGCCTATCCTTATCCAAACACTATCATAGAGTACCTCATTGATGCAAAGGTAGATCCTAGAACTTATGACATCAAGGTGAAGCTGAAGAAGCCATTTGACTGGTATTCACTGATAGATGCTACCAACCCAAAGAAGAGAGCTCAGCCTCCTACCACCATAGACCTGTCTGATGAGCCGGCAATGGTAGTTACTGAGGCAGCTGACATTCCATCTACCATTATCGAGCCCACCTCTAATGTTGTTTCTATGCTCAGATCCTACCACAGCTCCCACGGTAGAGCCTACTCCAGCTCCGAGGCCAGTGCCCATGCCTACAGCTCCATTATCTGCTCTGCGAGCCTCTCAGACATTGGCGAATCTCTCAGACATTGGCGAGTCTCAACAACTAGATGCAGCAGCTACTTCAAAATTTTCTGACATATCTAGTATGGTTGTAGCGCAATCATCTACACAAGCACAATAGGTCTCCTCTAATCTTGATGAAAAGTTGATGAAGATTCTAGAAAACCAGAAGACAATCATGGACACTTTGGTATAGCACTGGTCGGTTATTGAGGAGTTGGCCAAAGAAGTGAAGAAGAGGAGGAAGTCCCCGACAAACAAGAAGTCAGTTGACAAACTCGGGAAGGAGGTGACCAGATTTACGACAGCTGGGGATCTACCTTTTGATATGCTACTTGACCGGCACTAGTCCATCCCAGATCCATTGGCACCATTTGCACCGGTTGCACCAGTTAACCACTCCGAGGAGCCAAATATTACTGCCGACACCGATGAGGCAGTACATGCGATGTTTACCACTCCCACTGTCGCGCCCCTTTTTCTCGCGAAAACGTGTTTTAACGTGTGATAACTCTTTTAAATGGGTATTAAAAGAGAAAAGTCGTCACCCAACAATTTTTAAGGTGAGTTAGGGCACCTATTTGCAAATAACTTTGTTTGACTAGTCAACGCCATCAAAGATTGAGTAAGGGCTCAAATTACCTCAAAGAGAAGGTGTTAGGCACTCTTCGAGGTCCACAACTGTGGTTCTCGGCTGAAGTTTAAACTATGTAGATTAGATAATTAAGCTAGTTGATCAAATAAATAAAGAAAGATGTAGAAGTTGAAAGCTATATTATAACATAAGATTTAACTATATGAAAAAATGATACAAGTCATAAAAAATCACAAGGACTGCACAAAATAGCAATGAGTGGCACATGTTAGCCTCCACACTTAACAACAAAGGCAGACAAACAGATTTCAGGTTATGCTGCAGACAATTTTTTTAGAGGCATTAGAATTATTAGATCTTATAAGCATAATGTCTATTTGATTCCGGTTTCCAGTAATATACAGAAAATACTGTAACTTTTAGGCTAACGTATAGGCATATTAAAGCGTTACAAGTCCTATAGGCACGATTTCTAATTGTTTGCACAATAAGGTAGTGAAACGATCCCAGTTTTCCCAATGGAAATACTTCTTAGGCAAGTGACGGTGTCCTATAGGCGGGATTTTTAGTAGTTGTATAATGAGGCAGTGAAGCCGCTTGAAAACCCAGGATTAGCAACGTCGATAAAAAGATTTTATGCGAATGATAACATCCCATGGGCAGGACTTCTAACAATTGACAATTAGACTGGTTTTATAACACTTTATCCCTATAGGCATGTCATCTAAGTGAGGCGGTATAAAGTAACAGAAAGCAGCTGATCATAAAACCTTATAGTCATGATATATAGATTAGTGAAGGCATGTATTATCGTATCCTATAGGCATTCTATCTAAAAGCGTTGAGTAGTAGATAATGGAAACAAGTGTAGCAATTACTTGAGCCAACATATTTTGACAAGTTAAGTGAAGTGTGTGCATGATTCCAATAGGCATGATTTCTATTAATGTGCAACACACTAAACGAAATAACAAATAAGACATGCTGAATGAAATAGCAAATAGAACATAGACCCTTATAAGCATGTTTTCTACCCTTTCATGCAAGCATAGAATACCTGAACTCCCTATTCATTAATTTCCCCGACATTCATTTTTACAAGTTATTACAGATTGAGATTGAACTAGGTATGGCGACTGGCAAAATTTTACGATCGAGCACGAAGGTATTAGCCATTAATAGCTGCTCTGGCCACTGGCTAGCCTCTTCTTGAGGATGGTCAGTTATCCCAACCTTTCCCACAGCTCATCCAAACATTTACGAGCCCAAAAATAAGCCAAAACTATGCGCAATTAGTTAAACCTAATGTATTAAATGCAGCCATGCAAACTCCAACCCACATAACCCTAAAACCAGTGGAATACCTTCATGGAGAGCCCATCATTAAATGGAAGAAGCAGGAAGTTCAATAATCCATTGCTCAACAAGGACTACAGTTGGCAATGTTGGGAAAATTCTCGTATGGTAAGCCTGTTATTCAAGAGTTTCGTAAATGTATTCCTATACAGTGTGAATTAAAGGGTCCTTGCTCTATTGGATTGATTGAGGACAGCCATGTCCTTATTAAGCTTTCATTAATAGATGATTACATTCATTTATTATTAAATCCAGCATTTTATTTAAAGATACAAGGTGAGATGTGGCAGATGCGATGTACAAAGTGGAATCCCTAGTGGAAACCTAACGAAGAAATGCCTGTTGCTATGGCCTGAATTTCTTTTTAGGACCTTCCACCTAAATATTTAGCAAAGAATTTGTATTCTCACTGGCAAGTGCAATTGGAAGGCCCTTATATGTTGACTTGGCTACTCAGAATGGCACAAGGCTAAGCTGTGCTAAGGTGAAAGTTGAGGTGAATTTACAGTCAAAATTCCCTCGAAGGATCAAAATTATAGAAGAGGAGGATGAGTTTAGGCCAGAGGAGTCTAAATGGATCAAGATTAGGTATGATTATATGCCTAAATTTTGCAAAAGTTGCAAGTAACAAGGCCATAAGGAAGCTAAGTGTTGGGTCATCAATCCTGAGCTTAGGCAATTTGAAGATCAAGGATGGAGAGGTGAAGGAGAAGGAATATATTGGTACTGCAGCTAACTCAACTAAGGTACTCTCTAATGGTAAAGTTTTGGGGAAGCCAGTGGTAAATCAGGCTAGGCAGGAGTGGATGCAAGCAAGGAGCAATAAGTACCAACATGATAATAGAGGTCATTTATTGTACTACAAAAGAGAAGGAGATTGACAATGGAAAAGGGAAGAACAAAGCTGAGGCACTGTCAACAAAAAAACAAGTTTGATGCACTGGAAGTTGAGGAAATTGATCAACCAACACTGAGGATTACTGATGGCAAGGATGATAATACTAGCAAGGCATAACAAAAAAAGCAACAAAGAATTGAAGCCAAAAAGGTTCAGAGAAGAAGTAGGTGATAAATAAGGAAATTACAGCTTCAATCATAAGGATGTTGGAAATACTTCAGTGGCTAAGGAAGGAGTTCCTAATCCTAGTAATACAAGGGCTAGGATGGAGGAAAGTGTTGAAGTTAGGAATGGAAATCCGGGTAGAAATAGGAGCCCTAATCCTAATGCTACTAGGATTAAGGATGCAACCATAAAGGAGAGTATGGTAGACTGGGTTCAAAGGAGCTTTGGTGCACACAAGGAAGCTCTTAACGTTACTTTGAATCATTCATGCCAGGAGATACCTTCTCAAACTTTGGTGGAATCACCTAGGTCAACTGGAGCTACTAGAGGGGAAAGACAACTATAGAGTGATGAAGTACATGAGTTTGAGGACAACTATGTAGCAAATACAAGTATAGGGGTGGATGATCATAGGGACAACACACAGCTAGAACAAGCAGACAAAGGAAATAATATGTCTACAGTAAACCCTAGGTCCCTGGAAATTAGGGTTGAGGATTTTGAGGGGACAAATGATCAGCGACCTATACAACTAATTGGAGCTGATACAGGAACAAAAGAAGAGTCTAGAAACACTGGGGGATCAATTATAGCTTCAACAGGGAAGAAGGATTGCAATGGAGTAGTAAACCCTAGAAGAACTACTCAGGTTTTGGACAATTCTAGGGGTGATTCGGTGGTGGTTTTAGGCAATGAGAAGGTTGGAAATGATAATGTTGATGCCTTAGAGGATACAGTGAGGGAAAATCAAAGATCAGTTGATGGCAAGAATTCTGAGCATAATGGAACAGTTAAAACTGGGAAATTATAACCCAAATATGGGCAGTGTCTATGAACTACAATTTAGGATGATGCAGGAGGTAGTAGAAACTCTGGAGCATCATGATAAGGTGAATGAAGATCAGGCTATTGTAACAAAGGAGTAAGGAGCCTTAGAGCCAATGCCAATGGCTTGTACACCAGCCAATGATCAGATTATGCAGCTTCAGGTCAAAGTACCTTTGAATTCACCTTTGCAGACATTACATGATTTAGTCACACACAATGTGGCACCTGTAGATATGGCTTTCATGGAGCAACAACAAATGGAGGTGGAAGGATATGATGAATCATTTGCAGGAAATTTCAAGCAAGTAGCAAGGGATGCTGATTTGTCCCCTAGAACTAGTGCAAAGGGAGGTAAGAAGGCAAAGAAGCAGACTCAGGCTAAAGAACCACTTCAACCTATAAGAATCATGCATAAGAGGGCAGCTTCACAAATGAAATGATGATCAAGGCCTTGATTTGGAATATTAGATCTGTCAATACTCAGCAGGCCTTCCCTAGTGTGATCAATACGCAAAGAGAGCACAATTTCTTTGTCATTGCTTTGATGGAGCCATTTCAAAAAAAAGGTTACATACAAAGGTATAAGAGAAGATTAAATTTGGAGTCTGCCTTTTCAAATATGAATGGGAAGATATGGTTATTTTTTGATGTTGTGGTGGAGTGGGAATTGATTGTGAAAACTGAACAACATGTGATTGTCAAAGTATTTCACCATGACTTTGGGAAGCGTATCATGATGACTTTTGTGTATGCAAAGTGTTCATCTATAGAGAGATTGGAGTTGTGGGATAACCTATGGTATCCGGCAATTGATATGGAACTTCCTTGGTTAGTAGTAGGGGACTTTAATGTGGTGCTACATAAAGATGAAAAGATAGGGGGATTACCAGTTCATCCTCTTGAATATGAGGATTTTGCATTCTGTGTCAATTCTTGTGGGCTGCTTGATCAAGGATATAAAGGAAGTCATTTTACATGGTGGAATGGAAGACCTAATACTGAGTGTATATTTAAGAAATTGGATAGGATCTTTGTTAATTTGCCATTCCAAAATATGCTACCTACAATTGAAGTTGAACATTTGATTAGGACAGGCTCAGAACATGCTCCATTGCTTATGACTTGTGGGGAGAAAACTACAAACTTTGTCAAGCCTTTCAGATTCTTGAATTTATGGACAAAACATGCTTACATTCAAGGAGGTGGTGAAGCAGAATTGGGAGGCGGATTTCATTGGAGATCCATTTCTAATGTTCAAGCATAAACTGAAGAAAGTGAAGGCAGCTTTATCTAAATTGAGCAAGGACACCTTTGGAGTCATTTTCAAGCAACTGGCTATCCCAGAAGACATTGTAAAGGTTAAGTAAATGTTGTTTGAGGAGGAGCCAACTATTGAGAATAGAATAATTCTTCAACAAGCCTGGGCAGAATTGAAAAAAATACTTGAGTATAGAGGAGAAATAATGGAAGCAAAAAGCTGGGATGACATGGTTTGCCGAGGGTGATAGGAACACCAATTTCTTTCACAATCATGTCAATGGCAAAAGGAAGAAGTTGCAACTGAAAAGGATCCATAATGGAGATGGCAATTGGCTAGAAGAGCAGGAAGAAATGACCAATGCTGCAGTTGAATTTTATCACAGATAGTTCATTAATGAAGGTGATCCCATAGATTTTTCAATGCTTGAGAATGTACCTTCTATGGTAACTTTGGAGCAGAATTTGGAATTATGTAGATTTCCAACCCTAGAGGAAGTCAAGGCTGCAGTATTTGAGCTAAGTAGAGATAGTGCGAGTGGTCCTGATGGATTTACTGGACTATTTTATCAAGAATGCTGGGATGTAATTGGTTATGACATACATAATTTGGTACTTTATTTCTATGGTGGTGTTGCTTTGCCTAAGTCTATCACTCATACTAATTTCGTATTGATACCAAAGAAGCCTAGAGTGCAGACTTTATCATACTTAAGACCTATAAGTTTGAGTAATTTCATCAATAAGGTACTGTCCAGAGTTCTACATGATATATTGGATAAATTCTTGCCTTCTTTAATATCATCTAACCAGTTTGGATTTGTGAAATGGAGGAGTATATTTGAGAACATTCTACTCACTCAAGAGATTGTTACTGGCATAAGATTGAGAGGCAAGCCTGCCAATATTGTCATAAAGCTGGATATGACTAAGGCATATGATAGAGTTTCATAGAGGTTTTTGCTACATATATTGAGGAAAATGGGATTTGGTGAACACTTTATTAACATGATATGGAGTTTATTGTCTAATAAATGGTATTCCGTATTGGTGAATGGCCAGTCTTCAGGGTTCTTCAAATATTCCAGAGGAATTAAGCAAGGAGATCCATTGTCTCCTGCTTCGTTCATCTTTATCTACTAAGGTGCTATCTAGATCTTTAAACAAGCTGTTTGAGGAAAAATCATTTGTAGGATTTTGGATGCCAAAGTGGACCGATCCAGTAAATCATCTTGCATATGCTGATGACACCATCATATTTGCATCAGCACATCCAGAATCCTTGAAGAAGATCATGGAAGTATTGAATGATTATGAGAAGACTTCACGCCAGTTGATCAACAAAGCAAAAAGCTCATCATATATGCATTCTAAGGCAGCCAATGCATTGTTCCAAACATTTGGTGATATCACAAGACTTGGGTGCATTTCCTTTTACATATCTTGGGTGCCCTATATTCTATACAAGGAGAATAAAGGATTATTATGATGATCTCGTTAAGAAAGTGAAGGCAAAGTTACATTCATGGAAAGGAAAGTTTCTATCTTTTGGAGGCAAGGCTACCTTGATAAGCAGTGTTCTTCAGAGTATGCCTATTCATATCCTATCAGTTTTGGATCCACCTAAGAACATTATAGACCATTTGCACAAATTGTTTGCAAGATTCTTTTGGAGCACAAAGGAGGAAGGGAGAAGTAGGCACTGGCATCTTGGAAGAATTTGTGTCTTCCAAAGGAGGAGTGAGGACTAGATTTCAGATCCTTATTTGATGTGTCCAAGGCACTATTTGAAAAATTATGGTGGAGATTTAGGACCACAAAGTCTTTGTGGTCAAATTTCATGTGGAAGAAGTACTGCAAAAAGGAATTGCCTGCAGTTGTACAGCTTAGGAAAGGATCACATATTTGGAGAAAAATGTTGCATGCTAGACAAGAAATGGAGCATGAGATCTGGTGGGAGATGAAGGAAGGAACCACCAATGTTTGGCATGAAAACTGGACAGATCTAGGAGCCTTATATCATCTAGTACCTCCAGATTTTCACATTAATGAAGAGCTGGAAGAGGTTAATGAATTGAGGCAAGAAGATGGATGGATGAGGAGCTGATAGACCAAACAAGTACAGTTTGAAAGTACTGATGGATTTTGGGATAGACCTTGGTAGAAACCTACTGGTTCAGGCAGATTTAGTATGAGCAGTGCTTGGCAATTGGTGAGACATAGGGCAAATCCAAATCCGGAATTCAAGAACATGTGGATCAAGGGCTAACCATTCAAGATATCATTCTTCTTATGGAGATTATGGAGGTTGAAACTGTTCACTAATGACATGTGGAAATGGCAGGGCTACATATGTATGTCCAGGTGTTGGTGTTGTCAAAACCCTCAGGAGGAATCATTTGATCACCTATTCTTGACAGAAACTACAGCTACTAGGGTTTGAGAACATTTCTAGGTGCAGTTGGAATCAATGTTCCATTGATTCAAGTTAAGCAGGTAATTAGAGCATGGTAGAATGCTGATTATTGTCCAAACCTGAAACCATTATATCAGGCAGCTCCAACAATTATAACTTGGGAATTATGGAAGATGAGAAACAACAACAGGAATAGGGGATCAGTTTCAGTTCATAGGGTTATCCATGAGATGAACAAGACACTACATTTTTTGGCAAAGACTAGGTACAGTTGGCTGCGTTGTATACCTTTTCTTTGGCCGGATATAATCACATATTTAGAGGGTTACAAGCCTATTATTGTGACTAAAAGAATAGCATAGCAATTTCCATACGATGGCTGGTACAAGTGTAATACAGATGGGGCTTCAAGAGGCAACCATGGTCCTAGTGCTGCTGGTTTTTGTGTGAGTGATAGTGCAGGGGATTTGGTGTATGCTAGGGCACAACAATTGGAGGAAACTACTAATATAGTGGCTGAATCTAGGGCAATCACAGATAGACTGCATTACTGTGTGGAGCATGACCTACATCCTCTTATACTAGAAACTGGTTCACTTGGTATGAAGAAGATTATAGAAGGAGAATGGGATCCTCCATGGTGCATTGTAGTAGAGGTTAAGAGGATTAAGGAGATGAAAAAGGAGTTCAATGTGATATTCCAACATGTTTTAAGGGGGGGAAACACTGTGGTAGATTTTTTAGCTAACATTATTTTCTCTTTTGCAGGTACAATTCAGTTTAATTCCTTCTCTGAACTGCCTAGTGCAAGGAGGAGATTGATCAATATTGATAAATTACAAATTCCTAATTTAAGGGTTAGGATAGCCAAAAGAAAAGCACAAGATTGATGGCTAGGTATGTTAATGAAATATCTACCGCTGCTTATTGTCTAGCTGGTATGTGGTTCTGTATATTACTAGGTCACTTTCCAGTTGTATTGGCATGATGGCATACTCAATCTGATAGTGAGCTAGGGATGTATGGAACAATTCCTAAAAGCGGGCAGTTGGTTTTTATACGAATGGGATCACAAGGAGTCTTAATCTTTACTACAAACTTGCAACTATTGATAGTGATTTCAGAAGATACAAATGGTATAGCCCTACAGGAATCTAGCAATTGCCTGTTATTTTTTATTGATGGCCTAGGTGTTGTTATGGCATTTTCCAATGGTATTGGCATGTTTACTTGCCCAACCTGGAGATGTTATGGCAGGACTTGGGATATGTTTGTAATGCGGCAATAGGCAACTGGCTCTATGGTAGCATTGATATTCCAGGCGATGTTAAGACAATTCTCAGTGATATTGCCGAGTCCACATTCTGGAAGTGTTATGGCAATGTCTGGAGCCTGTTTGATATGCAGGTCCTGACATACTACACCTTGAAGGCCAGAAAACTAAAATGCAGGTTCATATTAATTGGAATCACATGCTACTTAAGAGGAATGCGAAGATGGCTGATCAAAACAGTGAGGCTTACTTATACAACTTATGCATATTGCTTAGATGTTTGGACCGTCCCAGAAGTTGTTGGTGTTGATTGGAGATTCACATTTGCCTTGTCCTTTGGAACAAAAATGTTGGCGCCTGGTGGGAGCGTTAGAGGTGCTACATTGAGGTTTTACAATTGGCTTATGGATACACACACCACCTTATGTTGGGAGTTGCCAGTTCTATCTCTGTAATAGCTAGCATTTATGGCTATTTTAGTTTTAGATTAGTTGTTTTCATCTTTGAGATTGGACATATTGTAAACATTGGATTCAAGTTTTTGGACTATTATTTATATATTAGCCACTAGTGTCTAGTGGTATATTTTCTTAAAAAAAGTTATTACAGACCCTAGTGAATAATTACAGGCACGAACACGAATATACAATGACCCAGTAATACATCTGGGCCTTCAAAAAGGTTTAGAACTCCATATGGACTGCAGGCCCAAACTCCAGGTGCAAACAGTGTTCTTCAGACTTCCAGTACCAAAGCAGCCCAAACGAATAATTTCATACCCAAAAGGATGCTAAGCTTAGCTATATATGTGACACTGTAGACAGAGTTAATTGAACAGCATTGAAGATTAAAACACTCGGTCCTTAAACTGTGACCAGCAACAATTCTAACCAAGACTGCTAGACGATCATACTAAATCAAAAGGCACATAAAGCACATATGAGGCAAGGTTTGTGCTTGTCACTCCAGAAATAGAGTTTAAGAGCAACAGTATTTCAAACAAAGTTCCAGAACAAAGCCTAGTCCAAAACCATCTTAAGGAACCTAAAGCAAGACTTTGAACTTGAAAATATAGCAGTGTCATGGGCAAGACCAGTAAGATACAGACTAAACATGAAAACTTCAACATAAATGCCTAATGAGAAAAAATAATTTGCAGAGCTTAACATATAAAGCAAACCTAGCTTATTAATAAGTGAGCATTCAGATGAGAAGAGGCTGACTTTCAGGTAAGTAAAGTAAGCAGGCATCATGTAAAGAAGAGTAAAAAAGGCAGGGATTGAAATTCATCCTAGGGGTCTCAAATGACTGGTGAGCACAACATATCAAAGCAAAGAACAAGTCTGCCTTGGCATTGCAACAATACTCCTATATAGAAGACAGATGATCACAAGTTGGCTTCAGGGAATGGCAGGTGTACATAGAAGATTTAGCATAGACATGTTTCAATAGGTTCTAGGCACGCATTAATTTTCTAGGAGATTCCAAGTCATGTTTCAAGATGAATAATAGTCTTGAATAGTCAACTAGGCTTAAACGTGGAGACAAGTATTGGTCATCTACAATAGGCAAGCATTGAGGCAAATAATGTCAAGGAAAAGCGTACTAGGCTAAGTATTCATACAATTTCATCCCATAGTTACAGGAGGACAGCAGGTGATGTATAAGGGATTCAACAAGGAGAAACACTTCTGGACAGGCAAAATTTCCCAGAAATCCAAACAAAATTTGATAAACATTAATAAGATTTAGTTGCAAGCCAAGTAAACATCATGTATCACTTAGCAAAAACTCAGAATTAAAGCAGGCTTGAACTAGCATGATATTAAACACCCAGAGAAAAGCACACAATCAGAGAGTAATGAAATTGCGAGAGTATAAGGTACTAACCAGTTGCAAACAAACTAAACAATGGATGAAGAACACAAAAATCTCAAGAATAGCTGTGTTTACTGAAGACCAATGAAACCCCAATTCCCCAGTTCTTTAGAGTTCACAGGACCCTCGAAATGGACCCCGAGCAGTGCTTGCACTAGAGGAAGGTGAATAGAATCCGGTGGCCTTGGCTTTCAGCCGGCTAAGAGCTCAAGTTTTAGAATATATAGAATAAGTGAGAGTGAGAGAATAATCATGACTAAGGTCTGTCTAAAGGGAATCAGGAGAGGGGTTTATATAGTAGTAAAATTCAAACGAACAAACAAGGAAAACAGTCAATCAAGCATAATAAAAGAAAAATTATCGTTGAAAAAATAAATTTTGAATCAGATTAGGAGAAAACCCAAACGAACCCTAGCTCGGCATAAGTCAAAAATCGACCAAAGATCTTGGAGAATTGGCCCCATATCACCTTGCTATGAATGTATACAGACAAAATACCATCTAGATCTTGAAGATTGAAAACGATTGCACATGATTCAGGGTCTGGTACTTGAAAAAGATAGGCAAGTACTAGGTGATACCATAATCGTCTAAGTAACAAAGAGACAGAGCATATATGGAAAGAAAATTATGGGGGTATTGCGTATTAAGGTCAGAATCGGAGAGGATTAAGGGATATCGCGGCTAGGGTTTCTCATAGAAGAACATAATAGAGAGGATTCAAGGGCGGCTACTAGGCGAAAATGTCTCTGGGGTGTAGGTTAGGGAGATATAGGGAAAGAGGAAGGGCTACTGTGGGCCGTTGATCATTTTAGATCAACGGCCATGATCAGAAGGGGAGCTGGGCGGGTCGTTTAAATAGGTCGCGATTGGGTTATTTAGGCCTCATTTGTTTGCACTTAATGGAGGTCTGAATCTTAATCATTCAGATCTGAGACATTAAGTGTGTTTGTTTTTAAAGTCTGAATCTTAATTATTCAGATCTTGATCATTAAGTGTGTTTGTTTTTTTTTTACTTCACAACCACTTAATGGGTCTTAATAGGTCTGTATGATTGAGATCTATAACAGAGACTTAATTTCATTAAGATCCTATCATATATTCATTATTAACTGGCGCCACCGCCTATCATTATCAACAACCACCATGCCGCCGCCGCCACCACCACCATCATCCTCAATCAT